GCATTAGGCAAATCTGCTGCACAAGCCCTTTGATTGGACATATGCTGATATGGTCATCTGCTTTTGCTTCTTGGACATGTTTAGTGTTTATCTGTGGCCTTAATACTTAATTGAGTAAGTGTTTTGGTATTTTTTATGCGTTCTGATTGCTTACAGGTAGATGTGATCAGGATGTAGTCTTCCCTTTTCACTCTTCTTATTGCCTAACTCAGAGTAACTTTCACAGGTGTTGTCTGCCTCTTTGGTACATTTGGTTCTTGCCTGGGTTTTGATGTTTTATAGAGTATTATTGTAGCTTGACTATATGGCAGCAGTTTCTGACTCTTCTTGGGTAATATAGGGAAAGAAAGAGTCCCCCAAATGTAGAAAGGGGAGCATACAACAGCAAAACAGCACCTGCAAAAAAAAAAAAAGAAAGAAAAAGAAACAACAACAACAAAAAAAAAAACTAGACTGAACACTTCAGTCTATAATCTCAGAAAGAGGAGAGAAGGGGGAAAAAAAAAGATCTGTAGCCTAATATGAGTATGACTTTAATGTACTCTCGTCAACTTCTTGCTTTCAAAGCTGCCTGAGAAATTTCAAGATGCCACTGTTGGTTGTTATCTTATACCTCAGGCTTTAATTTAATTTTCAATTTTCACCCTGTTTTGTTTTTAAACTCTCTTTCCCTCTCTACAGGCCTGTCCTGGCCTTTCTGGTATTAAAAAAGCAACAACATTCAGGACCTGGTCTTGGGCTGAGAATCTGTGCACATGTGTGGGAGAAGAACCCACCAGTGGTGAGAGTGGGGGGTGTCCACTCGCTCAGGTGTCCAAATAGTTGCGGGGGGGTGGGGGGGTGGCAATGACCATATACCAAAAAAAAGAAAATCCGAACAAAGCAAAAACAACAAAGTGTATTGTCCACCTTTGCTCCAAGGTTCCCGTGGCTTTTTTTGGTGGTGTGTCTGCTCCCCTGCTTGGTCTTGCCATTTGGTCTCTCCCAAGATGTCAGCTCTGAGCCTCAGAGACCAGCAGATTCAAAAGTACGTAATTTCTTACTTCAGCTTTAAATTCCACTAGCTATAAGCCTTCAAACTTTTAAAATATTCCTAGCTATGTGGTTCCAAGTTTTGGAGCTCTGCCCTGGATCTGCTTTGCCTGGTATTCTGTAGTATGGCTGACAGTGAACTTCATTGCACCTCCACCCTAGCTGCCATCAAGCCCCGCCTGATCAATACATCTTGATTGCATGTTTGATCAATTTCACATTGAAGAAGTTGGTAGAATTCTTCTTTTTTCATCCTCACTGGTTTTTGGGGTTGGTGTGTAAATTTGAATAATAGTGGTATTAACTGGGCTTCCCTGTAGGCGAGTGGATATTATCCTATCACAGACAGCATTGTATCTCATGACTGACCTGGATATGTTCTTTTTGACAATGATCCAACACCATTCCTCTTCAATTCATCATTTCTGGCATAGTAAAACATGTGGTTGTCAGATTAAAAATGGCCAATACCAGTCCATTTCAACTCACTAATGCCTAAGATATCAATGTTTATGTGTTCCATTTCATTTTTGACAATTTCTAATTTTCCTAGATTCATACTTCATACAATCCATGTTCTGATTATTAATGGATGTTTACAGCTGCTTCTCTTCATTTTGAGTTGAGCCCCATCAACAAATGAAGGTCCCGCGGGCTTTACTACCATGGGCTTTACTCCATTCATATCATCATGGTCAACTCTACTTTGAGGAGGCAACTCTTCCCCAGTCGCATTTTCAGTGTCTTCCAACCTGAGGGGCTCATTTTCTGGCACTATATCTGACAGTGTTTCTCTGTTATTCATAAGGTTTTCAGTGACTAAATATTCTGAAGTAGTTCGTCACTCCTTCTTCCTAGTCTGTCTTAGTCTGGAAGCTCATCTTAAACCTGTCCACCATGGGTGACCCTGCTGGTATTTAAAATACTGGTGGCTTAGCTTCCAGAATCATAACAAATCACAAGCCACCACAGTACGACAAACTGACAGACTAGCGTTGATTCTTAGCACTGTGTAAATATAAGTGGAAGGTTCTGTTGGGATTCAGGAAACCTAGGGCTGGGGAAGTCTCTAAGGCTTTCTGAAATTGTCTGTAAACTTGAACTACTAACATAGCAGGTTCCAATAGAAATGAAAGATCACCCTTGGAGGCTTTGTATAAATGTTTGGCTATAATGACAAAATTTCGAGTCCAAAGGTGGAAAAATCCTGCTAAGCCTAGAAAGGAAAGGAGGCTTCTTTTGGTGATTGGCATTTGTAAGCTTTGAATAGTGTTGGGAGCAGCTGAGCCAAAGGTCCCTGACTTGGGCCTAGTTTATCCGAAGAATTGCAACTGAACATTGTGGTCCAGAAACTCGAACTGCCTCCAAGTCAAGCCTGCCCTTGAGGAACTTGAAGGGCTGCCTCAGGGGACAGGGAACTTGCAAGGTTTTTCCTTGTATTTAGCTGTGTCCTTTGGCTCAGCCTGTGCAACATTCTAGCCACCCTAATCAGCTAGCTACCACAAGTTACAGTTTTTCTGATAAAGTTCTGCTTATTGCTGGCTCCTTCAATACAGGATGCTCTTATACTCCTTACCCTCCCTCAAACACCTCCCCTTGAGCTGTGTATAAAATAAACTCACTGCCTTGGTCTGTGCCACAGTATCTCCATCAGAGTGCTGTGTCCCACCTGGTCCAACTTTACTATTTTCAATTTTGTTTTGTGTCTTTCTTTTATTTCTCATCTCCCATCGCCCCTACTTGGGTTTAATCTCTCCATGAGGGTCATGGAGAAAGACCAATTGTCGGACATGACCGTTGGCCCCAGCAGTAATTGGCTGCAGCAGTTGGTTCCCAATGTGGGGCCCAAGTACATGGGAACTTCTAAGCTGAGATGAGGAGACACTGCAGTGCATGCAGTCAGATAAAGTAGAGTTGATTAGAGTTTCAATTGGGTGTAAAACCATGGGGATTTAAGGGTCAAAGGACCGGAAGTTGTTTGTAGATATGCTTAAGGCTCTAGTGAGGGCCAAAGGAACTCCTATTAAAGGTGTTCAGCTTGCTTAGTTTTTAGATTTTGTACAAGATACCTGTCCCTGGTTCCCAAAGGAAGGGACTGTAAATTTGGATACCTTGGAGAAGGTTGGAAAGCAGTTACATGTTTGGTATACTGCTGAAGGCCCTGATAAGATACCACTTCATACATTTTCTCTCAGGATGCTTGTGCATGATAGTTTAGATCCTTGGCCTAACTCTGAAAGAGTGGCCTGTAATTCACATCCTGAACTTGCAGAGAATTTATGGCAGACAGTGCAGGGATGTGAAGAGCTACGCTCGCCTGAGTCATCGGCACTACAAAAGGAGAGTTGGGAGAACAAGGAGCCTCCACTTGTCCCCTAAACTGTTCCTTAAAAGAACAAAGGGACCCAGAAGCAGAGGGCTCCAACTCAGATTGGGAGGAAAAAATCAGAGATATGTGTCCTTCACTTGGCTGTTATCTCTGGCTGAGGCAAATACTGCCTGCATGAAACCGAAAGTGCTGGGCTTAATGCCAAAAGCGAGTGAGCAGTTATCTTGTGCTCTGCCTGCTTTATCTCCAGTTCAAAAGGCCTTGAGAGAAGCAAGTATAACAGGGGAAGATATAATGGGTTTTCCACAAGGAGTCTATCTGGTCCTAGAGAGGCCTGATCCTCATAATCTGTGTCAAATGCTCCTAGAGCATCAGATCATCCTTCTCAAGACCCTGAAAGAACTTAAATAAGCAATTTCTATGCATGGACCTACTGCTCCTTTTACTTTAGGTCTGTTGGACACAATTGCAATTGAGGCCCTATGTCCATCAGACTGGCAGACTTTATCTAAAACCTGCCTTTCACCAGGAGATTACCTTCTGTGGAAAACAAGCTAGCATGAGTTTAGCACTAAGCAAGCAGAAAGAAATCAAAACCATAATATTCCCATCACCTTGGATATGTTAGTGAGGATTGGAGATTATGCAGCAATGGCTCAGCAGCTACGTTTTACTGTTCAGATATATCAGCAGATCAATCTAGCTGCACAAAGGACTTGGAAGGAACTACCCACAAAGGGAGACAGATCTTTGGACATATCTAGCATCAGACAATGCCCTGAAGAGTCTTTTCAGGAGTTCGTTACTCACTTGTCACAAGCAGTGGGAAGCACTATCGCCGATTGCCAGGCTGGACAGCTGGACACTTTTGAAAATGCTAATAAGTATTGTAAGGAGGCCCTTCGGCCTACAAGAAGAGGGCTAATTTACAAGAAATGATTAGGCTTTGTGCCAAAATTGGACCTTATGTGCAGGAAGTGACCATGGCTACTGCCATGCAACAGGCCTTCCAAGGGAGGCGTGAACCCCTACAGCCTAGGTCCTGTTCTGGTAAGCAAGGTTTGTGATTTTAATCAGATCAGGATTTTTACTAAGGGTTGCTTCTCCTACCCAGAAAACTGCAGCAAAATTCACTTGGCTGTATGATGACCCAGTATGAGTAAAACAATGGCCCCTAACTAAGGAGAAATTGATCGCTGCTAAGTCCCTAATCCAAGAACAGTTGAACGCAGGGCATATAGAGACCACTTATAGTCCTTGGAATCCACCAATATTCATTATAAACAAGAAATCAGGAAAATGGTGAGTGCTGAAGAACCTTAGGGCTGTAAATAAGACCATGGAGTTTATGGGATTCCCTTCAACCTGGTCTCCAAGTCCTACAGCTATTCCCTTTACATATCAGTTGATTGTTATATATCTTAAAGATTGCTTCTTTACAATCCCTTTGCATCCAGATGATAGAAAGAGATTTCCCTCTAGTGTCCCAACTGTTAATAATAGGGAGCCTCATTTAAGATTTCATTGGAAGTGTATGGCTAACAGTCCTTACTTGTGTCAGGAATTTATTGCTTCTGTAATTACTCCGATAAGAGACAAGTATCCTGAGGCCTACGTTACCCATTATATGGATGACATTCTCTTGGGCCACCCTCTGGAAGCTACAGTATTGTTGATTTTTGGGGATATGCAATTAGCTCTTGAGCAAGCAGGACTGTGCATTGCCCTCAAAAAGGTAAAAAAAAATGTCCTTTTCAGTATCTTGGCAGCATTATAGAAGGCAGGACTATTTGGCCACAAGCAATTACTATAAGACGGGATGTCCTGAATACATTAAACAATTTTCAAAAATTATTAGGGGACATTAATTGACTATGACCCACCTTGAAACTCACTATGCATGACTTGCAACCACTTTTTACGATTTTACAAGATGATCCTTCACCGTCCTCCCCTCATGTATTAACTCCTGAGGCTGAAGAAGCTCTAATTAAGGTGGAATCTTCATTGCAGCTGGCTCAGTTATGAAGGGTTGATCCCATGAAGCCTCTGCAAGTTTTAATCTTTCCAATGTCACACACTTCCACCAGTGTCCTGTGACAGGAAGAAGTCATAATAGAATGGCTGCATGTGTGTAATGCTCAGAAAAAGGTTATAACTCCTTTTCATACCTTGGTGGCTTACATGATTGCTAAGGCCAGGATCAATTATTGCCCATGAACCAGATACTATTGTGACCCACTTTGACAAAACTCAACAAGAATGGCTCTGGCAGTTCTCTCTTGATTGGCAGATCGCTAGCCAATTTTCCAGGAATCTTGGATGTATCCTAAGGTTGCTTCATTTCATTTCCTTGCTTTGTGGGACATAAAAATGTTTACACACACACACACACACACACACACACACACACACACACACATATAGTTGGGACCAGGTGGGACACAACATTCTGATGCAGATACTACAGCACAGACCAAGGCAGTGAGTTTATTTTATACACAGCTCAAGGGGAGGTACTTGAAGGAGGGTAAGGAGTATAAGAACATCTTGTACTGTAAGTACAAGCAGTAAGAAAATCAGCAGTAAGAAGAACTTTATCAGAAAAACTGTAACTAGTGGTAGCTAGCTGAAACACTGATTGGGCAGCTAGACTGTTGTGCAGGCTGAGCCTAAGGACACAGCTAAATACAAGGAAAGACCTTGAAAGTTCCCTGTCCCTTGAGGCAGCCCTGCAAGTTCATCTAGGACAGGGTTTGACTTGTTAGCAGCTCAAGTGTCTGGACCATAATGTTCAGTTGCAATCCTTTGGATAAACTATGCCCAAGTCAGAGACCTTTGGCTCAGCAGCTCCCAACATCTGCCCCCTTTTTATATCTTAAAATAAGGTGGTCAGTGGTCAGTTGGAGCTGGAAGAGCTGGTGTCAGAGTGCTCAGCAGAAGACTGTAAAAACAAGTAACAAGGTTAACATCAAGACAATAATGCCAATAAGGAGCCACGCTGTATGGTTCAATATATTAAAAGGATTAAATCCATTGAGTAGATCCAACACAGTCTTGGCCACAAGACTCCACTTAAGACCTTGTTGTTGTTAGGTGCAATCGAGTTGGTTCCAACTCATAGCGATCCCATATAGGGTTTCCAAGGAGCAGCTGGTGAGCTTGAACTGCTGACTCTGCACCACACCAGGACTCCTTAGAGAGGTTGAACTCCTAAAGAAAAAAGAGATGAAGAGAGATGAATGCACAGGGCAGAAAGAGAAGCAGTGGGAGAGGTGCTGCAAGAGTCAGTGCTTACAAGACAATAGAAGGCATAGGTTGAGGAAAACCAGAGTTGCTGCTAGCCAGATGAAGCCTCCTCACTCTGGTGCTGGAGCTAGGGGAGGTCTAGTACCCCCTGGTAGTGATTTACCCATGAGAGTCTGCCTTTATCTGCAAGTCAGGCCTCCGTGGAAATTGAACATTTACTTAGCAGAGGACTTCCTTTGGGTGGGGGACAGAAGTCAGAGGTCTGTGTCAGGACACGCTAATCCTGTACTCTACTAGCACTGGGTCCACCTCTGTGGGGGCAGGGCTTGTGTGGCTTATACCAACCCTAAACAACCTAAGTCCCACAAGGGACATGTGCAACACTGCAGGCACCTTTTCCTTGAGAACTAATGTGATTTCCGGGAATAGAAACTGAAACTATTAGGTAGTTTATCCCCTTTCGGTAGAGGCTGGGGCAGGAAGGGGAGGGTTTAGAAAAAGCATAGCAGTGAGCTTGAGCTGCATTTTGAGACCTAGCTGGGGAAGGAATCCAGGACAGCAAGACTGTTGTTTTCTAGCTCCTCTTCTCTGGGTTTCTCTCTGCTCTCGCTAGGACAGCCCCGGTGCTTCACACCTAACATCTGTCCTTTCTGAGAAAACTAGCCTGGATTCAAGCTTTGAAAGGTGCCAGAGTGTGGATCTCCCCAGGAAGAGGTGACTTCCAAGGAATATCCCCAATTGTATTCCACACCCCACTGTTTTCAAAAGCTGGTAAGTGTGCTCCTAAAGTACTTGTTTTATATTATCACTGTGATAATGTAAAGACATTAGAAAGTGAAGCTCTAACACCAAATCTCTAGAGTCTCAGCATGGAGATGGCCCAGGCAATGGCTGAGATACCTTGGAATTGTGAATGCAGCCCTTGTCTGGACCACTCATGGACTATAAGGACCTGGAGTAGGAGTTAAAGTCAGATGTGTCTAGTCGAAGATTTGTTGTTGTGACTCATTGTAACTCATAGCCACACACACTAAGACAGAATCAAACAGTCCTATGAGGTTTCCTATGCTTTGATCTTTATGGAAACAAATTGTAAGGCTCTAATTGCCAATATTTGGTTGGCAGTTGAGCACTTAACTATTATCTAAATATCCTTGGTTGGTTGTTTAGTGGTGTGCCGTTGAGTCAGTTCTGTCTCATAATGACCCTGTATATGGTTTCTGAGGCTGTAAATCTTTATGGGAGCAGAAAGCCTCATCTTTCTCCCATGGAGTCACTGGTGGATTCAAACTGCTAATCTTGAGTTTAGCAGCCCAACCCATAATCCACTACACTACTAGGGTTCCTTATCTAAAGCTCCTTGTTGTTGTTGTTAAATGCTGTTGAGTCGGTTCCAACTCATAGTGAAACCCTGGACAGGGTTTCCAAGGCTGGTGTGTTTGAACTGCTAACCTAGGAGCTAGCAGGCCAGTGCTTATCCTTATAGTGCCACACCAGGACTCCTTACTTTTTATCCTTTTAATCCCTCTCAACTCAGATGTTCATATGAATTGGAGAATCCCTGTTTCTTTTGCTGGGCCCTAGATCTTCCCTTTATAAGTGAGATTGTTGTTGTTGTTGTTGTTGTTGTTAAGTGCCGTTGAGGCAGTTCTGACCCATAGCGACCCTGTATAGCAGATGGTGAGCTTAAACCACCTGAGGAGCAGCTGGTGAGCTTAAACCACCAACCTTGAAGTTTAAACATTTTGCAGTCCAGCTCATTAACCCACAATGCCGCATCTTTTCCACCATCTCCCTAGAACATTTTCTTTCCAGCATCATCCCCATTGATCATGTGGAAATTGAATCCCACTTTCTCTCATGTTTCCTCATAATGATCAAATGTGAAACAAGCCAGGGGCACTGATCCATACTGGTTTCTGGGATCATGAAGATCTCTGATGCCTCGGACTCCACATCTGTTCTGAGGCCAGGTTTCATTTTTTCCAAGGGTTCCTTTTTAGATTCAGGATAGTTGGACTTTACATGAACTATGTAGAACCCTGCAGATTAATCAGTGTTCTTTATTCTCCATACTTAGTCCATGAAGTCAATTTAGTGGGCTATGATCAGCATTTAAAAACAAATGTACTGAATAATAGAATGGAATAGAATCAAAGAAATCATAGTGGAGTAAAGGCAAAGACTTTGTGATGCCTTTGTTTCGGTCGTGTGTATGTGCTTGACTTTTATGTGAAATGTGTCCTAAATTGGAAAATTTGGGAAGATGCTGTTTACACAGTCTGATTCTTCTTTCCAAGCTTGACTATCCCTCTCTAGTTGACCCTGCTCCCTGGGCTCCCTCCAGAGGATCTATCTCCCTTATGTTTGGAGTGACTAGGCCTTTGATAATCTTAGTTTCCCCAAAGAAGGGAGGTTGGAAGGTGGGCAGTAGCAATTCTGACTGAACTCTTATGCCTCTCTTGCTGGGTCAGTGCTGTGAGCCAGCTTCTTGGGGCCTCATGTACACAAACACACATGCACACTGACTCCTCTTGGAGCATTCTCCAACCTCACACAATTTAACCATGTCTCTTCCTGGCCTGACTGTGACACAACTCAGTAAGGGTTCAGAGACAGAACTCAGTCTGGAGCAGTGGTGACTCAGCAGAGTACAGGGCAGAAAGACCCAGTGAACAAGCAGTGAGGACAAAGGAGCAGGTCCGTGTGATGTCTGTGTGATGAAGGACTCTCTCTTCTACCAGGCCTAGCACAGGGTGCTCAGGTTAGCTAACTAGTGTGGAGGTAATGACTTGGGTCAGGTGGAGTCACAGAAACATTTTGGGAAGTAGAGAATTTGTAAGGCCCTTGTACGTGCACCATGAAGCAGTCAATTCCTGCCCAGAAGAGTGAAGGGGCAGCTGCATACTTATCACGGGGACAGAGTTAGGAAGGAAAGGTACTTAATCTGCCAAGCATTAAGTTGTTGTTGATGTTAAATGCCATCAAGTCAGTTCTGACTCATAGCCATCCTGTACAAAGTTTCTGAGGAGCATCTGGTGAATTTGAACCACTGACCTTGCAGTTCATACCACTGTGCAGTTGAATGCTTATCCTACAGTGCCACAGTGCCTCATTAATGAAACAAAGTATATTATATATCCGCTGGGTATTTAGAGTCCCAGAGACAGAGTCTAGTAGTATTATTTATCTTAAGTGCCAACATCTGCATTTATATTCATGTAATACCAAACATCTAACACCAGATGAAGCAATTTGCACATGAAATAGGTTGTGCTCAGATGTAGAAAAGTCAGGGAAAATAATTTAGATCCCAGTGTGGTATAGGATAAACATTGGACTGCTAACTGAAAGGTTGACAGTTCAACCCACGAGAACTCCTTGGAAATCCTATGAAGGGTTGCTATGAGTCAGAACGAACTCTATGGCACTTAAAAACAAGCTGCCCAACTAGTCTCCTTTCTGGCTGACATATTTTCCTTGGAA